TCAGAGAGGGCCAGCAGTGTGATGCCCATCCGGTGCAGTGTCAAGTCAAATCTGGCCTGCCTTTCTAATGGCCGCTCTCTGGCTAACTGTCTGGATGTGCCTATATGCGAAAAGCAATGACGGCGAACAATCGAAGTGCTAATAAACTGTCGGTGGGGTAATGCCTGCGCACCCATTTAGGAGCAGGACAGCACACCAGGCGAGTGCTTCGTTACGGTTGAGTTAATTTTTAAAATCAAGACCTAAATGAGCGAAATATGGCAATTTTATTACTATGCAGGGATTTGAGACTTCACTGTCAGCTCATTTGTCATCGGCTGTGCTTTTGTGCTGCTGCTGCTCTCGACTGTCGACGGCAATCGGCGGCGGTGAGACTGATCTGCCGCTATGCGGAAGACTGACGTGGTGGGAGGCCCCTCTGAAGGGGGATGATGATGGCTCCGTCGAGTCCAGCCCTTCACCTGAAGTCTGGTTAGCAGGTGTGGAGAGAGCTGTAAAGGCAGCAAAATAAGGTGTTATGCAAAATTGAGCAGTTTTGAGCACTAATTTACCTTTTATTTGAAAAGCAGGAGGAGGACTGAACTGGTGCTGACCGGTAAATGAGTGCGAGACACTGTGACCAGACATCGTTGAAGGGGAGGAGTGAGGAGTCAGAGACTGACTTGATGGCATAAACAGCGGCGGCAGAGGACTAGAAAATCGAGAGCCGGCATTGGAGTTGCTCACCACAGCTGCAGCAGCGGCATTTAGCATACTGTCAATGTTGGCTGAAGTGAAGCCTGGTCTGATTTATAAAAGAAAAAGCAAAACGTTTTTATAAAACTAAATACTCTACAAAAATACTGAAACATACTTTTCATTGAATGCATTAAAAAACGAAGTTTTGATTGAACTAAAAGGAGGAACAAAATGCGGGGGAATAGAAAACTCTCGTAAAAACGGATTTCGGTCAAAAAAGGAAACTCCACTTTGATTTGGCAGATAAAACGGATGACGAATGTTGGACATGAGCGATGGGGAGTTTAAAAAGTCTGCACTAGACACTCGGTTAGAAACACCACTTGAAATGAGTGAACTGATGGGAAAATTGTTCTTTGGCTGTTGAGAAAAAAGCTGGTGACCAGGACTGGAGAGCATCGCCTCACGAGACAGTTCATAGTCAGACTTGGATGGCATCAGTGGGCTCTTGTGAGGGGAACAGGAGAGCAAACTTGATGGGCTTTCATTTTCCTTTGTTTCAATCGGTTCAGGGCTGGTGCTAGGTGTTGAGATCATTTCAGTGGACGCCACGTCAATACTTATGTTCGGTGAGCCCGGGTCGAGGTCAAGTGAACCCTTGTCGCCTTTTGAACCGTCACGCTCTTTTCGGAGCCTCTCAGATTTTCTCCATTTGGCTCGACGATTCTAGAAAAGTTATTCAATTGATGTATGCGTCTCAAAAACCGCTAAACTAATAACATACCTGAAACCAAACTTGCACACGAGCTTCAGTCAAATTGATTTTCATGGCTAAATCTGAGTTAAAATTGATTTGGTAAACTCTTTAAAGTGTTATTAAAGCTGTTTACTACTACCTTCTCGTGTAAAGACATCCGGATAGTGCGTCTGAGCAAATGCCTTTTCCAGTTCTTCTAGCTGCTGCACACTAAACGTGGTTCGGTTTCGCCGTTGCTTTCGTCGAATGAACGCATCTTCGGGTGTCTCATTGGAGTACACTGAACCAAATGAGGAGTCTATCANGGTTCGGTTTCGCCGTTGCTTTCGTCGAATGAACGCATCTTCGGGTGTCTCATTGGAGTACACTGAACCAAATGAGGAGTCTATCAATAACAAGATAACTAATTAGAAAAAACTGTCTGTTTAACGGTTAATTACTCTGTCGTAGACTCGAAAACATTTTATTTGCAAAAGTTTTGGTAGTCAAAACATCAAAAAAGACTATTTATAAAACTCTTCGCACTTTATTTTTACATTTCATCTTTTAATAGGCCCAATGACAGCGTCGGTGATCACCGCACGCACGCACGCACACATATGCATGAATTAAATTACATATACAAGCAAAACTAATTAATTATTTAAAATTGAAATTTAACAGTAATCTAATTAGGAAAAAACAATGGCAGTGCTCTATATAAAAGATGGTGGAGGGCTGGCTCACCGACTACTGCCTGAACTGTGGAGAGCGCAGTAGTGAAGAGGACGGTGGCTTGTGGCAACGGCACTGGTGGAGCACAAACAGCTCGCGCATTGTAAATTGAATTACATTTGGGATGCATTTAAAAATTAGCGCCAACTGCAGATCGAGTTTCAAGTTTGCTCTAAAGCAGACTGCTGAGACTGCTGTAAAACAAAGAGCACCTCGCTGAGAAAGATGTCACCGCTGAAAAGTGTATTGCCAGTGGAATTGAAATTTTACAATTTGCCCATATTGTCAAAAGTGTCACCGCCAATGTCGCCTCCAAACTGTGAGCTGTTTTGCACAGTTCCGCAGTTTGTGCTGTCTCAACAAATGTACCAATGCTAGTACTTCCTGTGCTCCATGCCTCGATTTGTATTTGTAATCCGATCTAAGCGACGCATTAAGTGCACTTTATTAACTTAAAAAGTGTCAGCCAAAGTGGCTTGGTAGCAGCCAGTGAGCAGCCACCAGTGTAACATGAGAATAGTGAAATCGGATTTTCCTTAATTTTAGATTAATTTTGTGTATGTGAGTTTAATGTAATTTAATTATCGCCTCTTTCTACAACAAATGAACAAACGAACAAATGATGTGCTTACATTGCGAACTGCTGCCTGGGTACAGCGACAGAGAGCTGGCCAGGTTAGAGTTGGCCACGGCGGCGGCAGCTGCAGCCACTGCTGTTGGGTGCTGCTGGTGGTGAGGGTGGCTCGATGCGGAAGTCGTTCCTGTCGATCCAATCGGCGGACAGTGGTAACAAAACATCTGCAAGAACAAAAATGGAGAAAAGAAGAAGAGTTGTTCAGTGATGCTCAGACTGGCTGGTCAAACTGTTGAGCTGTCTTGACTCTGGCTGACTAATGCATTTCCGTTACGGAAGCTAATTTAAGTGACGACTCGATGAAAGCAGTCAAAGTGCAAACTGAATGGGTGAGATTGATTGATGGACAAAAGGAAAACTACTGTCAAACTACTGGACACAAGTCGATAACAAAACCTTCTCTTTCTTTGAAATGTGTCGGAAAGACTTTCAGTTTTGGGAAGTATCACAGAAGGCAAAATTAACTGGTGTTCTTGAAAGAGTCAATCAATTTGTAAAAACATGACAATTAGTCAATAAATGAAAAAGTGGTGAAGATGCCGTGCAAAGAACAGAATAAGAATAAGGTCCAAGTATTTGCTTTAAAAATCTTCTTCAAGTGCTTCACAAACCAGTTCACAGCAGTGAATGAATGCTGAAAAATGTTGGTGAGCTTTGTCAGCCTGGGCTGCACTCTACTCAGTGACACTTAATACACTGTCAGGGAAAAAGAAAGAGAAAGAGAGGGGAATCTGGCTGAAGCAAGCTGTCGATTGAAATTGAATCATTGAATGATTGAGTTTAGTTCAGTTCACCAACTCCTACTGGTGACCATTAAAAGGTCTTTTATACGAAAGTAGAGAGAGAGAGAGAGAGAGAGAGAGAGAGAGAGAGAAGGAGAGTGGAAAGTGGAAGCGCGCGAGGACCGGCATTGGCGGTCGTCTGCAGGCTCGTCCTCTCTGCACTGCGAGCAGGCAGCATCGGGCGGAGCAGATCAGCTATTGATTCCACCGGCGGAGGAGGAGTAAGGCTAATTGGACGCACTGACGATATAGCTGCCCAAAAACGGTCGCCGATTTTGCGTGACAGAATTGTACTGGGGGACAGGGAGACAGGGAGCAGAGAATACTCCATGTCAAATGAGTGACAGTTTAGAGACATTTGGCCACTGGATCAGCACTACTATAAAGTGCATGTCAGCTCAGATAAAGTGGCTCCTTCAGGCCGCTCAATTGTCACCACTTTTTTCCTAAACACAGTTGGTTTGTTTTAGTAAAATGGCATCATAACTAACTGATACCAGAGCAATGCAAAGCGTCAACAAAGGTTTACGGTCACTAGTACTTACTAGAAACTTGTGCTCACTGAGTCGCCCAGTTTGGTGTTTAGCCAGTTCACAAGGCAATTTTACAGAAGATCTTTATGCTGCTGTTGATTTAATTATTGGACTTAAATTGACAAGTTACAAATTGAATCAACACTGTACAGCGGTAATAGATTTAGTACAACTGCAGTTGAATCGGTACACTTTGTTGCCTGAACACACACACATCTGCTTTCTTTTCTTTATCGTCACATCCGCTTTTTCCAAATCGGCAAAACGACGCCGTTGAAGGTGAGGCATCACACAGGCCAGAGACCACTGACGACCTCACGCGCACTTCATTCAATTCAATTGAAATGTCTCCTAATTCTTGAAATCACATTACAATTTAAATACAAATCTTTTCCGAAACATGCTGCAAAGTGAAACATCGTCTTCAGACGAGAAGAAAAATTGATTTTCAGCAGCATGTACAGCGGCTTTGTACAACGGTCCCAAACAATGGTAGAACGAACAGTTTGACATAAAGTGGACGCGCACAGGGCGCTTAGCGTCAATTGATTCAATTCACAGTAATTCTATTCAGGCCAACAGAAGCGTCTCAAAGAAAAAGAAGAAGAGAACTAGGCAGCCGACCAAGCAGACAGTGTGTGTGTGTGTGTGTGTGTTTACCCCAGCGAACACACTCAACTGGCAGGCGCCCGATAATTGAGACAAAACATTTGGCTAATTTGCTAATTTCGTTTAGCACTGAATTGAAAAACAAGGTGCCATTGCGCTAAAGAAATCAAATTATGACAATTAGAGCTAATGCTGTTATTGACCAAAAATCAATTATTGAGGTCCACATGCACCGGCAGTGTTGGGCACAGTTGGTCAGCCTGATCTGATCCTTCGTTCGGTCTGGCACATACGGTTTTCCCTTCACTTTTTGTTCGCCTGTCAATGGGCGCAATGTGGAAAGTGGAGAGAGCAGCCGTCGAGTGATTGGCGATATATAGCCAGCTAATTACCATGGCGGCAGCATCAACGGCAGTGCGCACTGCTAGCCGATAGCGCCTGCAGATAGTGCCAGCAAATTGATTTATCTTGATTGATGTTAATTGATTCGATTTAGTGCTGCATTACTCAGCGACGGCAATCGATTATAGTGCGGCACACAGCTCGCAATCGAGTTAGCAGTGGCCAGCTCTCTCCTCTTCACTTTCACCCAAAGCCAAAGCCTCATGTCATCTCTGATGGCTGCTTCGTCCAACTGCTGTCCACTGACCACCAGAGTCCAGTGACAGACTCACTCCACTCTCTGCACTAATCAATGAATTAGTCAACCAGCACACACACACACTGCTGGCATCCAAGTTCATAGCTAGTACTCTTCGAAAAGTCATTCAATTGCCGAGTAGATGGAGAGTCAATATTAAATAATTCTACAACACTATACGAAGCACTGGAAACTGTCTTCCTCTGAAATAGTAATAATTGCATTAACGCAATACCATTTGAGCCCATTTCCCTGTGGACCTGGCGGAGGTGGCCTCTGCCACTGTCGTGAAAAGATGCAAGTCTCTCGCTGGAACAGGGCCTAGTTCAAACATGAGCAGTAGGGGATAGAAGGTTTAGAAGGATGCATTTTACAGTTTAAACTTGAATTTTGTTTGGTTTTATTATAAAGTGTTTGAAGGCTAGTCCTGAGTCGAAAAGTTTGTTAAGTCATTTTGTTTCAGTCGTTGGGTCATTTTGGATCTTTGGAACATACTTGAGGCCATCTAGTGCGCGAAAAAAAGAATTTTTATCTATTAGTTTTGCGGGGCATCGTAAATGACCGGGATGAGGACATATTTGAGTTTTTGCTCATCTTAGGCGGAGGAGACTTTGGCCTTAGCATCTCAATTCGTTCAGTGCAGCCAGTGAGGTGACCGTTGGAGCCGCAAAAGTAGCCGTTGTATGTGTCAGCATTAAAATTGCTGTTAGTCAATGCTGGTCCCACGGACAACCAGCCAGGCCGAATGATGTCGTCGCGACCAAACACGTTCAAGCGGCGTCTTCCAAGGCAAAAGTGCTCAATAATATGGTAGATCTCATCAGGCTTTTTCAAGCTTCCATAGTCCATTGCTTCTGTGATGATCAAGTCGATATCAATGTTGGCGTGAATGAAATCACCGTCAGTACTACGGCGCACAGTACCCTTTATGCCCATCAAACAGTGCTCTTTGGTTCGCTGAAAAATGGCTTTTGGTTCAAGGGTTTTTGAGTGCTTCAAGTCTTTTCGATGAACGTTTGCCTTGATCCAGCAAATATCTTCACATCGGCGAAAACCCCACTTACGAAGACACTGACGACCCAAGTCAAGGCCTTCTGATGAGCCACACCACAGAAAGATGAATGACCGAGGTGCAGCCACGTCTTCTATTTTAAGTTTCAAAACATCCTCCCAAGGCCAAAATTCAACATTGTTGACACCATTTGTACGCTGGTACTCTTCAAGTGGAGGGTCAACGAGTATAACGTCGAATTTAGACTGTGATAAACAAAAGACGTTAATTAGTAAGTGATATCACCAAGTTATCACTTACATTGAGCTGATTTAAATCAAATTTTCGCAAATCGCACTTTAGATACATTGGAGGAGTGGCCGTTTTGGCAACAAGTTCATCCTTCAAACGAATGAGCTCTTTCAATTTTGGATATTCTTCAAACCGATCATTAAGTCCAACATCACGAATGAAATTCTGAGGTCGTTGACCGGTATCAACAAAGTGCTGACAGTAATCATTGTGTGGATTTGCACTTTGGGTACCCTGTGAAAAGTATAAAAAAGTGATTAATTTATACTTTTCTAGTATTCAAAAACTCCGCAAACCTTTAGGAATGTTGTTGAGTCAGTATAAATCACTTCATCGTCGTCACCGAGTAAGTTAGTATTCTTTTCAGTCGTAGTCTTTTCTCTCGATTTGTCATTAGACGAACCACAGATCGCCCGATTGCTGTACTTCTTGAAGGCACTTCGTTCATTGTCAAAACCAAGATAAGAAGAGTAGTTGTTTACATCTTTTATGCCAAGCTGAAAAATAAAAATAAAATTAAAACAAAACCGGAAAAATAAGAAATCACTTACTTGCTGTGCTAGTAGTTTCCGCCTTTTTGCCGACTTTTCTTTAATCTGATCGATTACAGAGCTCATATTCTTCTTATTCTTCTAATCGATGCCATCAATTGAATGATATCGCTTGAAGTTGATGCTCTGGACTGGAAGCAAATAATAAATAAATAAATAAACAGTCAGTCAGTCTGAACTGTCAGCTGACAACAAGAATCTTTCATTTTTGCCATAATTCTTTGTGACCGTGGTGCACGGGCTGACATCTGTCTGTCGTTTAGGAAACATGGCAGAAAAAATGAGCAGGCCACGTGCTTGACCGCATCTTTAGAAGTCCTCATCAACAAACACTATTTTTGTCTTTTATTATCAACAATCAACTATTCCCTGCCATTTCTCATCATGAATTTCGCTCTACGGCAGATGAAAGCTATGGGCTGGAGCGAAGGCAAAGGCCTTGGTGCATCGGAAGACGGCATCACCACTTCGATCAAGCCCAGCACTCAAAAAGACACACGCGGACTCGGATTCACCATTGAGGACTCGCTTCAGCTGAAGAATCAATGGTGGAGTGAGGCATACAATGCTGCAAGCAAAGGCCTTCAGTCGGAACTTAAAATCACTTCTGTTGGCGTAATTGTGAAACCTAAAAAGAGAAAATCAACTGTCGATGATGATGAAGTGGACGGTTCTAAAAGTAAAAGCATGTACAATGACCGGTTCGTTTCTGCTGGACTTTTAGAAAACAAAAATGCCGAAAATGATGGTGACGGTGAAACAAAGTCAGAAGAGATAGCTGATAAGAAAAAGAAAAGAAAAAGTAAAAAGCTGGCAAAAGAAGAAGATGCGGAAGAGCAGGAAGAAGGAATTGATGCTGATAGCGCAAACAAATCTACCTCACTTGATTTTAACAAAATTTTTAAAAACGCCAAAGGTATGACCTGCCACAAAGCTGCTCGATTGGGAATTCAAATGAATGGCAAAATGAAACGGATTCAGGAACAAGAGGAGGAGTTTTTGAAAAAGCACAAAAGATAATGCTTTTCTTGGTATGATTTAGTTCTAACTTATCATTTTTATATTTACTTCTATGTCTTGCTTATTTGAAATGAATTCTAACTTAATATAAACTTTTTTACCAGTTTATAAGCTGTCAAAAGTTGCAATCCTCTATTTTTGCAACTTTTTGCCTTTTTATTACTCTTCACACCATCGATCGCTAGATGTCACTTTGTTTCAGATAAACCAGGATTTTCGAAATTGAAATGGCTCGCAAACAATGGTTAACCTCTACGGTTGCAAAACTCTAACTAAATATTTCCTTTTTGGTAAGCATTTTATTATTTTAAATGATGCATACAGCTTTTGAGCCAAAAGACGACTGACTGACTGAAGGCGGACATTAGTGATTTTATAAAAATGCCTGACATCACCATCATCTTAGAGTATGTCTCCGTGGTTCCGTGTCCCTGACTATCGGTAAGCAATCAGCCCATTGTCTTGGAAGCTAACCAATGTAACCATCTGTACAAGTGATACTGCCAACAAGACAATGCCTAGGATGAAGTGGTGTTTGCCTTCCGATCTAACACTCCTTATCGCACATTTTGATGTATCCTACTGTGTTGTGTAAACTGATTGCACCTTTAGGTTTTCCTGGTTGTCTAGCCAATTGATTTGTCCTTTTCTCTGAACAAGATTGCTTGACAGATACTGCACACTAGAGGGCTAGTGTGGTCGATCCTCCATTGGAGCGAACTGGCGCCCGTGCTCCAAGCTAATGGGCATACTGTGCTAATTAGCATGAATCAAGTGGCATTCGAACACTTTGCTGGAAAAGTATTCGACCACAGCCACTGACACCATCTCTGTCGTCCAAACACAGTGGACAGACACACACACTCTATTAATGACAACAGAGCAAGTGCTGGCTGGCTGGAAATCGAATTGGGATTGTGTCCTTCCAGCACTCGGCGATCTACGGCGCTGAAGAATGAGCCACAGCACTGAGCTTCTAATGGAGACGATCAAATGCGTATGTAGAGAAATACGACTGACTGTGGTGGTGGTGGTGGTGGTGGTGGCGGTGGCTTGGAGAGTAAACTCCACACACTGCCTGGAAGCTTGGTGGCAATAAATGGCCAAACATTGCCTGGCAACGGACTTTGTGCCCAGGGAAACAGTAAATATTCAACAAAAGCACGTTGGCTTACCAATCGGTGCGTCCTGCCACGGTAACACCAGGCCTCCTTCTCCACAGAAACGCAACCAAATTATCTACGTTTGGTCTCTTGCAGCCACTCGCGGACGACTTGAGTTGCCAGGGGAACCATTGATCGCTGTCGTCGTCGTCGCGGTCTATGTCTGTCTCTCTGTGTGAGTGTGTGTGGGCATCGAGGTAGCAGGCTTCCGAGACATTCAATGAGAGGCATACCATAGGCATAGGTGAGCGAGTGCTGCACAGCTCAAGGTGCCATTCGGGCTGGCCATAGCTGCTGGCTAATGATTTGCCTCTTTCTCTGCCTGTAGTATGAGCTGGCCTGCTGCGCCTGTGGACCAATTGGATGTGGGGGTGATGACTAGCTCGGTGTGGTGGAAGCAAAGGCGGCCTAGGTCGGTGACAGGTCGAGTGTGTCGCCTCGCAGAGACAAAGGCAGCAACTGCTGCTGTTGCTGCTCGTGGACGAGTGTCAGTGGTCCAAGACCACTAAAGCACCACTGCCACCACCATCATTGCAAATAGCAAAGAGAGAGTGATGGAGGACTTCAACTGTGGCAGCATCAGCACCGGCAAGTAGTAGCAGTGGGTGCAGGCGAAAGCGCAGGCTCCGAGGCGGAGAGCGTCTGTACTCTCTGGTTGCTGACTCTGTCTCGTCGAGTCTCTGTACTCTCTCTCTCTCTCTCGCTCTTTCTCTCTGAGTGTCCATGTGATGTAAGCTGGCACTCGAACGCGCCACTCGATAGGTAGGTTGCCTGCCAGTCGCAACCACCGACACAGACTGCTCTGAGGCACCAGCGACGCTGCATCGACCACCACCAAGGAGACCGGGACCAAGGAAACCAGTGTGGATTCCAAGACGACCGCGCAATCGACTCGCACTGCTCCAGCCACTCTATCTCCTGCACTTACCCTTCTCTCTCTCCCTCCCTCTCTCTCCCCAGTGTACCGTTTTCTCGCGCCTTTTCGCTCTGCCGCCTCCTGCCCACGCGATTCTGTTTACCCTGTCTGGGCAGCTCTTGCCTGTTTGACCAGTGGCTGTGTCAGCGCTGGCCAGCCCGGGAAGCTCCACCAGTCCACCCATCCTGGCTCCAGTGCCCGTCCTCGCTAGCCTAGCATCGTCCCCGTCGGCGGTTGCCCTCCTCAAGGTGAGTAGTGCCCGTGCCACTTCCACACACAGCAATGTCTCAGTCTCGGTTCCATCTGAAGTCATCTACAGCTAGTCCGTGCTAGTCTTACTGCTTCTTTCACACACTACGTCAGCGCACAAACCCATTTTTTGTTGTTGTCGTACTCTCCTTCAATCTCGCTCCCTCTCTCTCTTTTCTGCCTCCACATGGTCTCCAAACCAACGTGCACTGCCAGTTCGCGCGCCAAAATGGCTAATATCACCGGGCGGTGTTGTCTGTTTTTCTCGCTCATCAGTGCTTGGTGTTCGACCGGTGATTCCGTCGTGTCACCACCACCACTTTGGTCGAACCAACCATTCGATCATCAACACTACTCATTTCACCAGCTACTCATTCATTCGTTTGTTTTGTTTTTTCCACCGTGTTTGAAAGGCCTGTTCTCTGCACTGCAACTGTCCACTGGTTGACTTGTTAATCGTCCCAGTGGCCCAGTGGTACTTCCCAGTGCCCCCTCTGCACTTCAATTGAGCAGTACCGCTAGCATAATAATGGTCTCAGCAGCGCGTGTCTGTCCACCTGAGCTGAACACTGTCGCTTTCGGTGTCTGTCACTGTCACTACTAGTACTGCTGCTAATCAGTGAGGTGAGACCAGCAGGGCACGCTTTGCTTGTGGTCTCGTGCCAGGCCTGCATCATGTTTGGACACATCACATCTCGCTAATCTGTTGAGCAGATGTTTACGAATGGAGCGCACACTCGGTGATGTATAGCAATGCTATATAGACAATGTGTCCTCTCGGAGCTCCATCTGCTCTCATGTGTCTTGGATCGAGAGACACATTTCATCACGCGTGTCACCGCAGCTTGAACTTTGCCACTCAGTCCTCCAGTCAGTCACATGTCGCCTGCCGCTGATGCTAGACTGTCTACCAAAACTCACTGAAACCTTTTCTTTTTTAGCCAGGCCACGTAGACTAGTAATTGCAGAGAAAGTAGATGTTGTGTGGACTGTCGTCCTGTACCTGCAGGAGAGCAACAGTATGAACTACGAACGGATTCACGCGCATTTTGCTTTAATTAGGCACATCGCACTGCACTGAAACTGCGGCAGAAACGTTTGCCTGCAGAAAGTTCAATTAGCTGCACACACACATCCTTCCAACATGGACAACATAAACAATTAGCTGTGCCTTGATAGTTTGTGGTGTCTGGTAAAGCAGTGTCAGCTAGACGCGACACCGAACGACATGCCGATCTATCTATCTATCTATCTAAGTGCCCACTGTGCTCCTCATTCTGATCGCCTTCAGCAGCTCTAACCAGAGCACTTTTCAGCACTGAACTATTCGCATCTCACCGTCTATTTAACTGCAGAAAGAGTCAGTTGAGCGAAAAGCAAAATTTGAGAGTTCAAAGTTCAGTTTATCCTCTTTGAGCAGTGCCGAGAAACCGTGCACTGATTGTCTGCTGCAGTCACCGGCCATTACTACTGAGAATTGAGGACTGCTCCAAAGTTCTAACTTCTAAGTGAGGAGTATAAAGGGAATGTGTGTGTGCCAGTTCTGTAATGCCACATAAACTTTAGGTTGATGGCACCATTAGGTTGCAATACTTGACACAGAAAGAATGGCAGTTTGTGCACGTACATTTGGCAAATAGGATATTGAAATGATGATGACTTTATTCATCTGGCTGCAGAGAGACAGGCTGCCAGAACTTTGCATCAAGGAGGTGATG